TAAAAATGCAAATAAACATACAAATTACAATACATATGGAATACACATCAAAGTGAACAGAGTTAATTAATCATCGAACGCAATTTTGAATAAATGTATCATGACAATAAATAAAATTAGGAAAAATTAGCAAGGAATAACAAAGTTCTGTTTGTTTAAAGTAATGTTTGCATTTCCATAATTTGATTGAACGAGTTCATTTTTACTGGCTACCTGCCGTACCAACAGACAGAGGTGATAAAAGACTTAACTCCGTTTTGTTGACGATCAGCCATGCACAATGAAGACGAAAGACTTGATGCATGGCTGATCGTCAACGAAACGAAGTTAAGTCTTTTGTCAACTCCGTTTATTGCTACGGCAGGCAGTCAGTGAAAACGAACTCGTTTAATCAAATTATATAAATAGGCAAGCATTACTTTAAACAAACAGACCTCTGATATTTCTGGTTCATTTTTCCTGATTGAGGTGTCATGTGAAAGGGCAGAAATTGAGCTTTCTAGATATGTGATTTTCCCTTTGAAATTTAGATTCTGCCCGCCAAATGACTTTTTGGTTTTCTCTCTTCAAATTGTTTTTAATCACTCATGCGTGAAATATGCATCATATTAGTTACATCAAATGAAAGAAGAGGATATAAGCTTTACAAAAATGTGTCATTTATTAATTATAATTGCGATGATAAAACTACGATAATTCTCGGTTTTGTTTTTCTGGGAAGCACTGTATACATATATGTATACGTGATGAAATAGTGGGAGTCCAATTGTCGGCAATACAATAGGGAAAGAAAGACCAGATTGGGTGAAATACTGATGCTTTACGCTCAAGACGGTTTTTACTTAAAAGTTCAAAAATATTCGAGAGCCTTATTTCTACTTGTTGAATATTTTCATTTTCAAAGTATTGTGAACTTTATTGATAATTACTACTAAGGCCCACCAATTTGCTTTGCGGGTTTTCCCTTTCACGCTTCATGTTTAACAAAGGTCCATGGTAGAATAATCTTGGGTATGATGAGATACAGTGTCAAATATCACATTTGATACTTTACTTTTCGTAATTAATGTGTCATACTTAGGTAGAGTTGATCATTGTAACGAGGATTTCAGATTTTGATATCTTACTGACTTGAAAAACAGAGTTTAAGAGCATATCCGGCTCGTTCACCTCATGTAAATCTTTCTTCAGACGTCTGCGAAACAAATGGATAGACGCCATACGCAGTGCCACAAAAGAACCGATTAACTACTCGTCGACGGTTTCGACGACGAGTTTAGATTCGTCTGAATACTTCGACGTCCCCCGCGACCGTAACCAACGACTACTGAGGAGTGTACACAAAACAGCAGACACCGCACCTCACCCAGAAGCCAACCTGAGGAGAGTCAAAACAACTCCCGCTAGTCAATTCCAGACGAATCGAGCCTCTACATTATCCATCCCTTCAAATGCCCAAGCTTTGGGACATCGAAGGCGAAGATCCCAAGAACTGGTGATTAATCGAAGTTTTCTGATTTTCTTTTTAAAATAATGATAACAATTTCGTAGATTAAATTTCAATCATTTCAATAGTCATTTTAATACAGGTAAATTATCGGAAATCGTAACTAGAGCCTTTTACGTTTTTTTCTTTCAGTGTTCTTTTTACTTCATTGCCTATATACATTGCCACAGTTTTTCTTCTTCTAGGTCAAGCATTAATTATAACAAGGGGACGAGAAACGAGGCATCGATCTCATTTCGCCTAATCAAATGCAAAATTGTTTTGAAACAAACAAACTCGCCTTGAAAAACAATAATTGTTATGGGACCTTCAAATAAAGAATTCACCAAAATGTATATCTGTCGTTTCTGCAGCCTAGCGTCATGGCACTTCAGTCGCAACAGTCGGCCATTCACTCACTCAACTCAGTTGACAGAATGCGAAGTTCGTCCCAGCACGAACTGAATAACCTTGGAATTTACGACGACAGCGCTAAGTATCATGGGTTTGAAGGTAACGAAGTTTCACACTTGAAATCTCTTTCCTTATCGGCAAGCACGAGTGCCAGTCAGCCGAATTTGTGCCTCCAGCAGGATCCCGTCCGGGGTGATCTGTATACCATGAAATCCCATTACAGACACCCCGGGTCTGAAACCAAAGGCTCCCATCAGGCTGAAGACTCTTATCACGTCAATGAACCCGCTTATGAACAGATTGAAAGTGATGATGAAGGAGAACACCCAATACTTCCCCTCCACTCTCCCCTTGACATGCCTGATGACCTATTCTACATGCCCCTGTCGGAATACGATAATCAGTCCTCTGTGTCAAGCGTGAACAATCTTGGTCTCGAGCGTGGAGGGTATTCCAACATCTCTCTCTATGACGAAACTGCTGCACCAGAACTGCCCAAGCGAGATCACCCGACGATTGTGGTTCAACAGCCCGAAGCTCCCATATATCAAATGGACTCTATTGAGAGGGAGAAAACAGTTTGCTTGGAAACACAGTTTCAGAGGGACCATCCGCCGATAGAAAGGGATATATCAGATGATGACAACAAGAAAGAAATGCCAGGAAAAATGATCAGTGAAGCCCCGAATGGCGAGTCTCTCCATGCCTACATTCAGTGAGTATTCCCTTTATCAATCTGAGAATGATTACGTAATTTTAATAAAAAGATCCCGGTTTAAATCGGTTGAAATGCCACCATTCTTCTGCTCATTATTTTCCCTCTTCATCCGTTTCATGACAGTCTGACCATCTTCCATGACAAAAATGTCATGAAGTGACATTGCCATTCAACGTGGTTCATGAAAAGTCCTTTACACAAAGTAGGCCAGATTTAGTTGTGTAACGGAGTCAGCCAGTGGAGTACTCAGGGTCCAGGTATTGGGGGCAATCAAAGGCGGCATGGGGGAGGGTCGGAAATATTAGGTATTAGAGTGAGGGAGGATGCCTGAGGGGGGGGGGGGATGGGTCATATACAAAGATTACCTCATTTTCCTTCGAGTCCCTCCCTTTTCTCTCTTTATCTCTCTTTCTCGAGCTCCTTACCAACGCGATAGGCTGCACATATCCAATTCCCCCCTGGGCCACGCCATTGTAATCATAAGGGTTCATGTAAGAGACTTACCTGCTTTGAACAATTTCCGTTTAATCGCAACTCACAAGATGAAAGTCCCCGAAATGCGATCATGATTGGTTTGCAAATCAAGTTGCGTTTAATATGTTGGCTTACGCTAGGGTAATAATTTCCAAAGCTCTTTGGAAGCGCATAGGGACATTTTATCATAATGTGTTTTTGCGCTATACAAGAACGGTTTATTATCGCTTTTTGCTTTCCGTTTGCATTTGGTCTTACAAGTCATGTTGGTTTGTATTTGTTCTTAGTCATAAAGATCATAACATTTTATGGGACGTGATTTAAAATCTGGTAGAGGCAAGATGATAAATTATACAATGTCAGTGTTAAACATGCCGGTTCTTATTTCGGTAGTTGTTCGTGGTAAAAAAGTTAAATCCGAAATTACATGATGTTATTTCATTATTTTAGATGATAAAATAGGTTACAAATTTCTATAATTTGTACTTTATATTGTTTTTATCTGGAATACAGGAGATTTCGGAGTGAGCAGTTTCGAAAAGATGGTTTCATGGTTGAGGTAGACAAAACTGATCTGTCACCTAAAACCGTGAAGTTGATGTGTGTTGCTGACTGCATTTGGTAAGCAGTTTTCAAATAGACAATTTTGTTACATTAATAGTGATGTTTGACAAAATGAGTGTTTTAACTGATTTTTGTTTAATATCGTATTACAATGAAAATTAAAAAGAATGGAATGATAGTCGGCCGCCCAATTAATAGATGATAATAGTAATCTTGACATTAAATCAAAGCACGCAATCGTTTATACATGTATTTAGTCCAATGTAACGGCTTGAAACAGTCGTGGCAATTTCGTCTAATTATAGGGTAACTAGTGTCTGAGGTACAATTTCTAGCCGAGGGCTGCAGTTAGGAATAAGCCACATCGTACATACATGCGCACGGGAAGAATAAAGGTAATTTGTACCAAATCATTGTAAAAATCCACGAACAGTGGAAACCTGCTCATGAAAATTAATCCTTATTCGTCTATTCACAAGTAGTATTCTAATAAGAGAACATAAGCACCTCCGCAATGGTATAGGCAAGGATTATTCTAAAATGCATTTAGTTGGAATTCTCCAGGTTAAACGATTTGTGGATATTTAGGGGTCATTTGTGCTGTGTGCTAACTACGAAACTGGTCTATTCGATAAGTGTTAGAAGTTGAAAAAAGCTTCCGTGACATGTGTCGAACATTCCTAATTCATTACTTTTATTTTGTTGCTATTTTTTGGTCTTTAACCTAAATAGCATCACTGCGCTCCCGAATGCCAAATTGCACTCCTTGTTGCACGTCGATGACGTCATAGTGAAAGTGAATCGACAAACGCTTCCCTCTATAGACTTCTGCTACAACCTCTTTAGAACAACAGACGAAAATAAGGTAAGGTCCGACTACTTTCCTAAAAATCCTGACCTTCTCATCGATGACGTTCTGTGTCTTTGTAAAAAAACAAACTAACAAATGAAACGAAAGCTCTGTGTTTAGGACAGCTCTCTCATATTATCAACGTTCATGCAACATTGTGTTAAAACCCTGCTTTGGTGCCAATCTTGATGTTAGGAAGGAAACAAAAAAAATGTGTGATAGTGTGTAATTTGATATGTCAACATATTCCCACAAAAAAGTACAATTTAAGTAACCACATGATTATGTCAACATGAAATTATTTGTATTATTTATTTTACGCACAATGCAATTAGCCTATATTGTGTATCCCAAAATGATTATGTACGGATTCGCTTGCTTTCCTCGCCTGTCGGGACGGTCGCTCCTTTGCCAAAGGTGCAATTTTGCACAATAGGCACCAATTGACGAAGGATTGCTTTGAGTAACCAACACAATTGCCCTGCAAAAATACAAATTTCCTGTCTTGATTAGCTCCATGACAGCACTTTTGACAACGATATAGATTAATCTTGCACTGGAATCTGTTATTTAATCTTGAAGCATTTGGTACAATATGGTACAGGATGGTTACATGTAGATTATTCGCGTGGCATATAACATAAAAATATGCAATACAATTATCAGAAACTGATAAAAGCTTAAAAATTCAATTTCGTACTACAGGTACAGCTCCATGTCAAAAGGGTGATGCATGGAATCCTGTGTCACGTATCCTTGCCAGTCAATGGGGACGTCGATTCTCTGGGTCTCGAATTCGGGAATCAAAGTCAAGGCAATGAGGTACTTGTCTCTTCATTCGAATCATGTTAATGTCATACGCTTGTAACTCGCATCCTTACATGAATTCTTTACTCATAATAAATTCAATAGTGAAATAAAATATATACTACGGGCTTCGTTCATCGAACAATTTAGGGCCTACTGTTGGACCAAAGTTACCATAAAATTTCTTTTGGAAGTTTCCATAGGGCGAGCGGATGAATATGCATGTTTGCCAAGATTAATTTCTGAGAGGAGGGGATGATTTAGAAATAAAGATGTCTAATCAGTCTCGATATTTTAACAAATAGATGCATTTTTATCATAAAAAACTCCCATTCAGGTTACAGCGATGCATAGTAAAGGACTCGTTGCGAAGAGTGGTAGCCCTTCTCGGCCACAGGCGTATGGTGTCGTCTACAGTGGAATGCTTGTAAATTGGGGCTTAGCTGAGATAAACCAGTCACCAGTTTCTTTCGACAGCTCACCAGCAGACGTACGTTATTGATGTTCTGAAATATTTTATCAATATACTCCATAACACAATAGTGTCTGTCACAAATCAAAGCCAATTAAAGATTATTTTATATGTGGTATAAGGCCCGGTCACACAGCCTTTCGCGTCGGTATCGCGGGTAAAATTTCGCGATTTTTTTTTGCCCGCGGTTGCCCGTGGTGGAAAATGTGCAAAATTGGCTTACCCGCGGTTTACCCGTGGTATGCCCGCGGAACAGACGCCGGCGACTGTTCCGCGTCCTTATCGCGGGTGAAGCGCGGCGGTACCGCGGCCTACCACGCTTACACGCGGTACACACGCTAATGCACGTGATAAAAACGCGGTACAGACGCGGAACAAACGTGCTATGACCGTGCTCCACCCGCGATTACCCGCTAAAATTTCGCGTCCAAATCCGCGTGTAACCACGTCTTAACCGCGACCGTAGCACGTCCTAGCACGTTCGTTCCGCGTCTGTACCACGTCTTTACCGCGTGTGTACCACGTGTACCACGTGTACCGCCCGCGATTACCCGCGGTCTAAATTTTTGGGCAGCCCAAAACTTTTTCGCGCGGCCAACCGCGTGTGAATTTCTTACCGCGTGTAACGACGGGTAAAGTACGGCTGTATCGCGTCTTTATCGCGACCTCAAAGCGTCCAACAGCGTCTGCTTCACGGGCAGAAATTTTTGGCCGTGATTCGGCCGCGATACGCCCGTGGAGGGCTGTGTGACCGGGCCTTTAGGTTGTGGCTAAATTCCCGGTCACACGGGGGACGCACGGCAGGCGCATTGGAAAATTGCCATTTTGGCCAGTGCGTTGTCAATCGCTAGGTGTGCGTAATCATTCGTTACTCGTTCGTCGAGCGCGCTGGACCAACGCTGGACCAACGCTATGCATTCGTCGTCATTCGCTGTGTGCGTCGGGTTTTTTGAGCATGCTCAAAAGCGTGCGCGGAGCTCGACGCATGAATGTACACGCCAAACATGCGCGGAGCGCGCTAAACCAACGCGGATCACACGCCCTGTTTACGCGCTACGCATTCGATGTCAGCTCGCTAGTTTCTCTTAAATCCTGACAAAAGTCGGGCTCACGACTTTTTCCGATTTTCAATGCGCCGGCCGTGTGTCGTCTATGTGTGACCGGGCAATAAACTGGGATGAAAATAGTTTAATCTCGTTGTTTTATCATCCAATATCTTGAATATCACTATCGTGAATATTTCTATTTAATTATAGGTACGGAATCAAATTCAGCACTCAGGGTGTGAGCTAGCCCTTGTTTTCATTCCAATGGACCTCATAAACGTCTTTAAGGAAAAACTGTGTGGAGAAAGCACTGATCAGACATCTACAGGAGAAGGCAAATGTTAAGCCACATTAACGACGATTTGCAAGCCAGAAACCCAGAAATTCATCCAATCCCCCTCTAGTTTTTAGTTTAAAAAAAAAACACACAAATAATATCAAATTTACAAAGAGTTCGAATAAGTTCATTTGTTAACTATATATATATGTTTATATATTTGATTAAATGAACTTAGTATATCATACCATCACTCCTTATGGCCGATAAATCTTCCCTCATAAAATGATATGTAACATTTCTTCAGTAGACTTTTTCCCTCTTATACATTTGGGGTCCATAACTATTTTGAGAATATATACGGTCGAAGAGGATCAAATTCTCCAGTTTAATAAATTTGTACTCCGCGAGCTGTAAAGATACAATCACTGTAGTGTGCCATGTAAAGAATTTACATGTGGAAATTATTAATGACGTCATGTGTTAACATTATAAACGGCAACACTTTGTATTATCACGCCGTGTTTTCTTTGGTGCAGCTGGGTATACAAATTATAAACAATTTTGATATCCCTAATATTAATATTATAATTTTTATCACAATTGGATGCATCATAGTTCCGAATGTTTTTTTGGTTACTTGTCATCGTTTCACAAGATTGTCGCAACTATACGTTCACCAACAACCCATTGCAACGGTTGTATAATAAACATACGCTTGGATGGGATGTTGGCGAACTTGTTCTTATGACGGTTTCGTGAAACCATGCCTTGGTGTTTATATCGAGCTATTATGACTATATAGCAAAAGGACCATTCTTTATCATAATATATATATATACATATATATAGCATATGTACATGAATAACAAAAATACAAATATCATCCAATTTGTGTGAGCAAAGACCAATAAAACACATTTAACATCAAATTTACACAAGGTATGAATAATTAATGTTAACTGTATATATATATGTATATATGTTTCATTTATCTCGTTTATAGACGTGTGGGCCTATTATTACGGTAAATCTACTTCATATTATTGTATGCGACTTTTCTTAAGTAGATTCTTCATTTTTATAATTCCAATTCGGATTCAATAACTATTTTGTAAGTATATAATCGATGAGAATCAAATTCTACATGTACTCTGCGAGCTATCAAAATACAAATATTGTAATGTGCCATATGCAGTATTTACATGTAAGAAATTATTTATGACGTCATGTATTTGTAAATAATCCGCAATGCTAATATGTCAACACTTTGTATTATCCCGCCGTGTTTTGATTGGGCAGCTGGGTATAATAATTATGAAAGATAAAATATTACAATCATTACTATTATCATTATCATAATTCTGAAGGTTTTTCGGATTAATTGTCATCGTTTCACAAGATTGTCGCAACTACACGTTCACCAAGAACCCATTGAAACAGATGTATAATTAACACACGTTTCAATTGGATGTTGGCGAACTTGTTCTTATGACGATTTCGTGAAACAATGCCCTGGTGTTTATTTCTAGACCTAGTTTAAGACTCCAATCGTTACTACGACTCCAAAAGTACTATTCAATGTTAATTGATTCATTTGTTTCCTCATTCTGATTTGATCTAATTTGTCGGTTTCAACATTCAATTACATAGTTATTAAAATCCGTAAAGTTAAAAAAATACTAAATTGCCCCCAAACTGATTTAAATCACAGTTTCATTGGGTTTAGTTCAGTTTATTCTTTTCGAAAGCAAACATAACAAATACATGATAAACATGTCTATCACATAGACATATTGATAAGGCTTTATATAGGCACAATTCTTAACAAAATAATTTTCAACGAAATGGAAAGTTTACAAGTGGAAGGGCCTTAAAACGCCTTCTTATGTAAGCAAAGACCAATAAAACACAAGTAACATCACATTTACAAGAAGAATGAGTAATTTCATTTGTTAACTGTATATACATGTATATATATTTGATTAGATGAACTTAGTATATCGTGCAATCACTACTTATGGACGTGTGGGCCTATTATTACGGTAAATTTACTTTATGTAATAGTATGTCACGTTTCTTCAGTAGATTCTTTATTATGTTTCTTTTACATTTTGGTTCTATAACTATTTTTGAAAATTTAAACAATCGATGAGGATCAAATTATATATATATATGTACTCCGCCAGCTATCAAGGGAGCATAACTGTGACGTTCCATATGAAGTCAGCACTTTAATGCAGAAATTATCAAAGACGTCATTTATTTGCATATTATCCGAAATGTTTAGATAATTAATGTCAATACTTTGTATTAATTCTGCCGTGTTTTGTTTGTGCACCTGGGTATAAAGCACTCCCTGGTATAATAATTATGAACAGGTCTAATACCAAAATACGTTACTATTATTATTATCATAATTGGGTGCATCATGATTCAGAATGTTCTTTTGGTAACTTGGCTTCGTTTCACAAAATTATCGCAAGTACACACGTTCACCAACATCCCATTGAAACGGGTGTATAATTAACACACGCTGCAATTAGTTGCTGGCGAACTGGGTAAATTAACATTGGACGTAAATAAACCTACAACTGGCTAAAACGCTCCCAAATTTAGACAGTATCAAACATGAACCCAACATGTGTAAAAAAAACAACATGCCTTTAGCCCTATACTGGGTAACCGACACTGAGCATTACATAGGCCATATAAACAAAGTATTGTGTTACCCCTTCACTGCAATCCCAAGATTGTCACCTCATCCCCCAGCTTTTGTTTGGTGCTAGAGATGTACAAAACCTTTACTATATGCATTTCCCCCATCATAGTAGGAGACCAGCCTCTAGGTCCCGTGACCAATCTCTGGAAACAAAGGATTGAAAGTGTTCTTGTGTTCCCTGATGAATACCGGACAATTTTGACTTGGGCTGCCCCCTTGAAAATTCCGGGCATTTTCGTGATGGGCCAACAAAGGTCAAACAGGGGTCGAAATTCAAATATATTCAAATCGTATGAATATGCATATCAAATTAATCGTATGGTCATGAGGATTCCAAAAATGTATAGTTTGTTATGCCTCCGACCTAAAATGAGGGCGCTATGGTAAAAAACGTTGAAAGGTCAACGCACTTTCGACCAATGGTCAATTTCACCAACATGTCCGATTCTAATGATTTTAGTGTCTAATAATATGTTTTCTGACATAGAAAATTCAACTTTCAAAAGAAAAAGTGCTTACCTTGACCATGAACATTCATTATGGCTGCCGTTTTGGTGACAAACATTTAACAACTTCTTATCCATGGGTTTGAGGGAAATTTCAAGGTAACTTATGGCAACCGCTTTTGATTTTAAAAGTTGCTTAGTTGAATTTGATATGTCAGAATGATTAGACACTAAAATCATGAGAATCGGACGTGTTGGTGAATTTGACCACCAGTCACCAGGGAACACAAAAACACTTTCAAACCTTTGTTTCCAGAGATTGGTCACGGGACCGACAGGCTGGTCGCCTCATATTGCTCCGATTGTCTCATTTTCGCTCGCGTGAACATTGCCAGCACAAAACACTGACCTCTACCTCCTGGACGGATCATCGCCCATTCCCATTCACTATACGTTACGTACTAAAAGGCTGTATTGTCTGACCGTTCATGAATATTCATGTTTTTGATAAACTCGGCAAAATGTTTGCTTTTACTAAATGGAAAAATTACGGGGGGGGGGGGGGAGGTTGGATGAAATGGACATAATGAACATAGCAGAAGTGATAATTGGTAATTCATGCTTCTTATCCTTCGTGTGCTTGACTTATAATCTTACAATCACTTGGCAGACTGAGTCCAAAGTTCGACTTGTTTCACATGTGTATTATAGGCAATGGCGAGCTTGCAACCAATTTTGAAAAATTACGGTGGGTGAACTTTCAAAAGTCAATGAGACATGAGGGCTCCAATGAAAGAGCTACTGATAACGTACTTCGTGGTGGATGTGCTTTTCGTTTAAACAAAAAATGAATTTTTAACGATTTTTTTTTTATAAAAACGTCCATAGGCTAACATGTATGGCTGCTGACTCTGTCGATAGGGGGCGTTGTGAAATGAGACTAAACGGAGCTATATGACTATCATGAGCAAAAATTAAGTCCTTCAAACTTGGTTAACAACAACAAATTGGCATTTTTTAACCTACAACTGGGTAAATTTTCAAATCCCCAAATTTGTTGGCCTACTTTTTGAATTTACCCAACAAATCAAAAAATTTGTTCCCTGGGTAAATGAAAATTGGACGTATTTAATCAAATAACATCGGGTAAAATGTTCCTAAATTTTGACATGGCAAGGAATGGCAAGAACGCGCTGGGTTTTTATAGCCCTCGAGCCTATAGGGTTAAAAACAAGATAGAACACGTTGCGAACTACTTACTACGGTTTGGACGTAATGGGAACGCGGTAGAACTAGTTAAGAACGGGTTTAAACTGATTGCGGACGGGATTGGACTGCTTGGAAATGGCGAATGTGCGGTACACGAACTGAACTTCATGTGAACTGACTGTGGACGGGGTACAGACGAGATGGACGTATTTAGGACTGTTTAAGAACACACAGAGAAAAAAAAGGTGTTCTTGGGGAGTAAAACAAAATTGGAAAAATAGGGCGCCCCCTATTACACCTTTTAGGGAGTAAAACACGGAAATACGCAAGGGTGTACAGAATAGTCATTTGAGGGGTGTAATTTTACACCCTATTTTTGTCAGTCGAGCTCTGATTGGTCAATATATTGTAACAAATCGGGGCTTTGGTTATTGGGAGGTTAAACATTTTTCTGCTGTGAGTGCATATGCGAATGCGCTACAGCAATGGCGCATCGTGTCGATATAGGTACTGCCAAATGAAGGAAAATTAGCATAATTTACATATTTTAGTCATGTTGGGGGAATTATCATGTTTCATTTGGGCATATAATTTGTGTGAAAGTTATCTGATCAAGAATAAGGGGTTGTACCGAAGGTTATATCAGATAATTTAATGAAATTAGCAGAAATGGTGTTTTACTAAATAGAACATAATTGCCTTTTTATATGTGTAAGTAAAGGGAAGATCTACGGATAGGCA